GGATATCCTAGTTTCTTATCTTCTAACATTGATTCTAGGACATCCTAGGTTCTTATCTTCTAACATTGTTTCTAGGATATCCTAGGTTCTTATCTTCTAACATTGATTCTAGGATATCCTAGGTTCTTATCTTCTAACATTGATTCTAGGATATCCTAGGTTCTTATCTTCTAACATTGATTCTAGGATATCCTAGGTTCTTATCTTCTAACATTGATTCTAGGATATCCTAGGTTCTTATCTTCTAACATTGATTCTAGGATATCCTAGGTTCTTATCTTCTAACATTGATTCTGGGATATCATAAATTCTTATCTTCTAACATTGTTTCTAGGATATCCTAGGTTCTTATCTTCTAACATTGTTTCTAGGATATCCTAGGTTCTTATCTTCTAACATTGATTCTAGGATATCCTAGGTTCTTATCTTCTAACATTGATTCTAGGATGTCCTAGGATCTTATCTTCTAACATTGATTTTAGGATATCCTAGATTCTTATCTTCTAACATTGATTCTAGGATGTCCTATGTTCTTATCTTGTAACATTGATTCTAGGATATCATAAATTCTTATCTTTTAACATTGTTTCTAGGATATCCAAGGTTCTTATCTTCTAACATTGTTTCTAGGATATCCTAGGTTCTTATCTTCTAACATTGATTCTAGGATATCGTAGGTCCTTATCTTCTAACATTGATTCTAGGATATCCTAGGTTCTTATCTTCTAACATTGATTCTAGGATATCCTAGGTTCTTATCTTCTAACATTGATTTTAGGATATCCTAGGTTATTATCTTCTAACATTGATTCTAGGACATCCTAGCTCTAAGATCGTGTCTAGAATACGTGGCCAGGGACCTTATTCTTGAAAACTTAACCTAAAATTATTGTAGTGTTCCAGTCATCTGATTGGTCAATCACTAAAATTGGTTTTAAATTTAGTTTTATTATCCAATCAGATTACTGTATTTCTTAGAATCTGGATTTTATTTTCGAGAATAAGGCCCCAGCAAAATGATGAATTGATGTTTTATATTTTTTCAGAATCTGTGTGCGATTGGGTAAAAAACACCACGGTGATGATTCTCTTCCACAATGGTATGTATCATCTTTAAAACGTGAAAAAATTTAATGTAGTCAGTTACTAAACATTTATACTTAATATTCTTATTTTTATATTTTACAAACAAATGAGTACCTCGGTCAGCTAAAAATAGTCAAATAGTTTAAAACATTGCATGTAAATTAAATAAACCACCTGTTACATCTAAGATTTGTATATTCAGTGATCTGCTCCAAAATTCAAACATATACATCTGATTCTAAGTTTCCCTATTCAGGCTTCCATTTTTCAATTATAATTTCCAACTTTAAATTTCAGGTCTCAGAAACTGTCTTTAGAAAATGGAGTAGGAACACGGCAACTACACGTGGTACCACGTCAGATGAACCGCCCTGATTGGTTAGTAGATCTCCAGACTCAGGCGCGTCTCAGGTTGCTATTAGAAATACCCAATACAATTCAGTAAGTCGTGGGAGGGTGGGACCGTCTAGGTGTCGGACGTTTGGACGATGGATTTTGTGCATTTGGGGTAAAGTACTTTCCAGTTAGTTTGTTCTTTTCCCATTGGTAACCAACTCACAAAACTAGCCCCTGGGGTTAAAAATAGATTAGAGGTCACATGATACACTCTGGTACCCCTCATCTCTTTTTTTGCTTACTACATCCCAGTGGATAGTTTTTGGGTGAACTTATTTAATATCACTTTCTGTAAGAATTAGAGCACTAAAACCTTGGAGAAATTCCTGTATTAACACTTTTATAATTATATTAATTCTTTTTTAGTTTCATATTTTCTTTATTTTGGGTAACTTACAAGGGCTGTTGATTTGTTTATTTAAGCCTGTCATGATTGTTTTCATGTTTTAAAATCTCAGAGATAAAATAATAATAAAAAATATAATTCAACAGCCTTGAGACCTGGTTTATAAATTAATCTACAGAGCACTGGTGGCACAAACTCATCACCATATTTCTATAGTCTTCTTTTTTATGTTGTAGAATGCATGAATCTTTATTTAGTAAAACTCTTTTTTAATATTCACTATTTATTTTTATATATCTATGTTTTATACGAACTTCTGAATGGATATAAAATTAAAACTTCTGAATTTGAAAATATTCTCAATTAGCCAACTTGCTATTTCTAGTAACAAACTAAGATTAATAAATAAGTGTGATATTTTAGCGGTTTAGAAGTGGGTGGGATTTAAAAGTGGGTGGGGTTTAGAAGTGGGTGGGGTTTAGTAGTGGGTGGGGTTTAGAAGTGGGTGGGGTTTAGAAGTGGGTGGGGTTTAGTAGTGGGTAGGGTTTAGAAGTGGTTGGGGTTTAGAAGTGGTTGGGGTTTAGAAGTAGGTAGGGTTTGGAAGTGGGTGGGGTTTAGAAGTGGGTGGGGTTTAGAAGTGGGTAGGATTTAGAAGTGGGTGGGGTTTAGAAGTGGGTGGAGGAAGCCAGCGCAGTGGCCCCACTGATTATGATTCATTTTACCTAGAACCTAACTTCAGTTCAGCAGTTTTATAATCCTGTCTTACATTTAGTCAATGGGGACAACATGAACTCTTGATTTGTTTCAGTGAAATGAACTAGTCCTGTCTGACTGTACATGAGGAAAGATTAGTTCTTGTATTGATAATATGTTAAAAAACTAATTAAGTAATATTGTTATATTATATAGGGTAATATTGTTATATTATATAGGGTAATATTGTTATATAGGGTAATATTGTTATATAGGGTAATATTGTTATATAGGGTAATATTGTTATATTATATAGGGTAATATTGTTATATTATATAGGGTAATATTGTTATATAGGGTAATATATTATATAGGGTAATATTGTTATATTATATAGGGTAATATTGTTATATTATATAGGGCAATATTGTTATATTATATAGGGTAATATTGTTATATTATATAGGGTAATATTGTTATATAGGGCAATATTGTTATATTATATAGGGTAATATTGTTATATTATATAGGGTAATATTGTTATATTATATAGGGTAATATTGTTATATTATATAGGGTGTATAATATTGGATATCAGCTGACAAAAGGAAAAGGAAAGTTTCGTGATACACAAGTTATTTCTATCGCTCCTAGATACGAGGTGGACAACCAATCAAATTATAAACTGGCTATAGCACAACGACATCTTATCTCCTCCCAGGTTTGTCACGATTTTTATTTTATTAACATAGTAAGATTTCATTGGTAACTTAGGTCAAGGTTTAACGAATAAAATAAGATATTACCAAACTCAGCATAGAGGTATATTTTACCTAGTTACTTCTTGGGTTTATCTCCAGTATCCTGTTTACCAGCTGGTCCTTGGCCAAACCTCTTGGCAAGGGCAATTCCTGGTTTATGTCAAACACTGCTAGGTCGACTGAAATTATGAGTGAAGGATGATGTATTTAGGGTCTCTAGAGTTTTATACACTGACTGTAATTAGAATTCACAACCACCGTTTGTATGACTAATTAAAGACAACTAATAGAAATGTCTCACTTTTAAAATGATGCCTAAACTTTAGCATTATCTGTTTTTATATTGTATTTTATTTTGTATTTTATTTTGTATATTCTAGAACATTGACAGTGCCTTTTTAACAGCTTTACCGAAATGTAAATTACCGTATCACTGGCCGAGGATGGATCTGGATCAATTATTATGTGTCCGGATTATGGATCATCCATGTTGTTATTGGTCTGGTGGATTCTGTGTGGATAAAAGTAAATCATTCCATTTAAATATGAGGTAAGACCAGAAGCCAAAATTTTATTATGTGTATATATAGATGATTTCTTCCCAATTTTGGGTTCTTTTTAATCTTGGACTGTCCACAATTTGGTCTGACTTTGATAAAAGGATAGAACTATTACAAGGGACAGCAAAATTTATCTTTTTTTATTTATCCATTATATATCATGGTAGAACAATAGGATGACGTCACAACGTCACTGTTGGTTTATAAGATATACGTTTGGGTCACTAAACCATGAAAATCAATATTGGTTTTGATAATCTGGTATAGATTTCTATATTGCATTATATATGTGACGGGTGTGGTGCCAGGCAGGGTATGCTTACTCTTCTAAGCACCTGATACCACTTTTCATTATGAAATACTTATGATTGATAAACTTCCTCATGTGAAAAGTTCATTAGCTGCTACCCATGTTTCGCCTATATATGTTGTTTTAGATTTCTAGAAGTTCAGATTGTTAGTACTGGGTTTATTTATTGTAGGGATGGTGATGGTAAATGTATGTTATTGAAAGTGGAGATAATTTGTCAAGGACCTACGTTTATAATTGTGCTGGTAGACGCTGACACCATGCCACCTCCCTTCAGACTGGATAACCATTCTCCTGTAAGTTATAGATTATAATTTTACAGTACCATTATCATGTTCCATTATTTGATATTACACTTAGATTTATACCCGCATGGAAGTTTTCTACTTCATGTTTCAAAAGAAGATATAAAAAGGTTTTCTAGTTCTATTTGCACCATTCCACTTTACCTTCAGATATTTTTGGTTTGTATATTTAATGTTTAATGTAACATGACATCTTTTACAGAAGTTACTATTAATATTTATGCTTTTTGAAAACTAGTGTATAGATTTGAGTAAAATAAATACCTAATTATAGAGAAATATGTTTCCTACGTATTTAATACGTATTAACTATTAATGTTATGAGCCATTATAACACCAAAACTAGGTCAAACTGCTTAATTAACAATTAGTACTCTCAGTTTTTAATTAACCCTTTTAAAACATATTCAGTGTGATCAAGTAAATACATAGATGTAAATAGTATACTTTAGAAATAGTTTCAGGTATAATTTACGATGTTTTTGATAATGAACCTGTTTTATAAAAGCGGAATGCCATTTTAAAATTTCTGAACAATATTTGGTAGAAACATCCAGTTATCTGATCTGGTTGATGGTTTAAATATGAAAATAGTATATTACCAGTTGCGAATAATGAAAGTGACCATGTGTTCCAAATATTCTGAAACATATGACCTCTATTCTTATTCATGACAGTGATCTCTATAATGTGAGGGCTATTTATAGCTCAAATAAAATAGTAGTTTTATTAACTAATTACTGTAGAATATCTATATTTAAGATACCGCTACCAACTTGTGTTATTTCATATTACAGATTGCAGTCAAATTTTACCAGAGTCAAGTTTCAGACCCACGGCTTCAGTCAGTTCTACATCCCAATACCTCAAGTAAGTATTAACACCATCCTAGATTACAGTCAGTTTTACATCCTAATACCTCAAGTAAGTATTAACACCATCCTAGATTACAGTCAGTTTTACATCCTAATACCTCAAGTAAGTATTTACACCATCCTAGATTACAGTCAGTTTTACATCCCAATACCTCTAGTAAGTATTTACACCATCCTAGATTACAGTCAGTTTTACATCCCAATACCTCAAGTAAGTATATATACCATCCTAGATTACAGTCAGTTTTACATCCCAATACCTCAAGTAAGTATTAACACCATCCTAGATTACAGCCAGTTCTACATCCCAATACCTCAAGTAAGTATTTACACCATCCTAGATTACAGTCAGTTTTACATCCAATACCTCTAGTAAGTATATACACCATCCTAGATTACAGTCAGTTTTACATCCCAATATCTCAAGTAAGTATATACACCATCCTAGATTACAGTCAGTTTTACATCCTAATACCTCAAGTAAGTATATACACCATCCTAGATTACAGTCAGTTCTACATCCCAATACCTCAAGTAAGTATATACACCATCCTAGATTACAGTCAGTTTTACATCCTAATACCTCAAGTAAGTATATACACCATCCTAGATTACAGTCAGTTTTACATCCTAATACCTCAAGTAAGTATTAACACCATCCTAGATTACAGTCAGTTTTACATCCCAATACCTCAAGTAAGTATATACTTACATCAGCAGGGCTGATTTGTATATCTCAATACTGTGAACTGCCTGAAAT